GGGATGGTCATGCTGGAGACTCAGACTTTTGGGGGGGGGGGAATGGGATTTATTAAACCTTAAATATTTGACCCCCATAATATGCCGAAAGAAAAAAAAAAAACCTAAGATATGCAAAACCTACCAGAAGTGCTAAATTGAAAAACTAAGAATACCAAGCCTGAAAAGAACATGGAAACTGAACTCCCATATAGTGTCACCGCACTCACTCTAGCCTGGGCAACAGAGTGAGACTCTATCTCAATAAATAAATAAATAAATAAATGGAAGTTCTTAATTTCATGAAACCCAATTTATTAATCTTTTCTTTCATGGTTTATGTTTTTTTGTTTGTCCTATAAGAAATCTTTGCCTACCTAAGATCATGAAGATTTTTCTCTTGTGGTTTGATCTAGAACTTTATTGTTTTATCTTTCATATTTAGTCTTATAATTCATTTTAAATTAATATTATTATTTTGGTATCTGGTGTGAGGTAAAGTTCATGGTTTCATTGATTATTTGTCCTTGTGCAAGTACCATGCTGTCTTAATTGATGTAACTGTATAGCTAGCCTTGATATTTGATGATATATGTCTTCCAGTTTTGTTCTTCAAGATATTTAGCTATACTAAGCCCTTTATATATCCTTATACATTTAATTTAATTTTAATTTTAATTTTTTTGAGGAAAAAGAACATGTAAGTTTATTTTACATAACTGATCAAAAAATAAATTCAAGAAATAGTAAATAGAATTTAATAAGGTCTCATGTGCCCTGAAGGAGGTGGTGATGGATTTGGAGGGGTAATCACTATGTTTAAATAATCTCCTACTTGATCTTCTGCAACTGCAGGGTCATGGAATCATTAGTCCCCTTTCTGCCAGACATGGTGCTGCCAATCTTAATAGCTAGGTCTTTTAAGATATGTAAAAACTGCAAAATTGAAGTGTGTGCCCTTCTTTCTAGCTTCTGGGTAGACTTCTTTTACTAAACTAGTCAGTTCTTTCAAGGTTGCATCCATCCAGGTGTAGATCTGCAGCTTGCTGGATCATATGTTCCCGTGGGAGAACTCATCCATTCCATGGTGGCGGCCATTATTAATGGTGACGGCTGTTATTAGTGGTGAAGACCCAGAGCAAAAACGGGCAGTCTTGCTCATGGATCATTGGACCTTCCTGACTTCTTTTTTTTTTTTTTGGGACAGTTAGTCTCGCTGTTGCCCGGGCTAGAGGTGATGCCTGGCCCATCGAGCTAGGCTACACGGCTCACCCTGGCTCAGCAGTGCCTATTGCCCTCGCAGCTGTTCCCGTAGGCTGGATATAAGAGCGACACCGCATGCGCCGCGTAATGTAGTGTTTGTACTATGTATTATTGGGCCGAGTATTTATTTATTAGTAGAGACGGGTCTCGCACTTGCGGGGCGGCGGTTTGAATCGCTGACCTGAGCAATGCCGCCGCTTCGGCCTGGCCAAAGTGCTAGGATTGCAGGTGGAGCACCGCTGCCGGCCCGACGTCGCTTCTTGCGTACTCTTGTATTTGTTGATTTTTTTTTTTTGATTTTTTTGAGACGGCGAGTCGGTCGCGTTGTTGCCCAGGGCGGTAGAGTGAGTGCTCGTGCGGTCGCGTAGTCACGCGAGAACCGTAAAATCGCTGGGCTCGCCGGTCCTTCGGCCTCGGCCTCCGCGGGGTAGCTGCGACTAAGGCATGAGCCCGCATGCGCCGGCTAATTGGTGTCACAGTTTATATTCAGTTGGCCATTAATGTTCGTTTCTTGGATCAGTGAGGTGGACGGCGGGTCGTCGTCTTGCTAGCTGCGTTTTACATCGCTGAGCTCGAGGCAATCGCACGCGCCGGCGCTCAGCCTTCCCAAGAGTGACAGGCTGAGCAGCGCCGGGAGCCTTCTTGATCCTTGGTGATGTGCAGTTTGGCCCGAGAGACGCCTCCTTATACATTTTAGAATCACTTTGTCCAAATTGTCCTTTGGGTATGGTTTTCACCTTACTGACTCACTAGCCTTTCTTATGTCCTTCTAACTTCAAAATCTAGGTAGCCTTTCGAGATGGAGACCAGTAGCCTGTTTATGGCAGTCCCCCTTCCTCTAGTGGGAATTTGTCTCTGAAATACCAGGAGACTGTGGGAGATTGCACTCTGCCTTTTCTGCCCAGGTGCAAGTGTAGAACTCACCTAACTTCAGGTAAGAAAAACTAGCCTTCTCAAGTTTCCAACCCATTAACCTAGCCTGGCAACTGCCAAAAGTTATGCTGATCTTTTATTTTCCTCAGTAGAATACTTCATGCCTTAAGGCCAAGCCTTATCTTCAACCTGTGCTCAGAATTAGCAAATGCCACAGAGAAGAAAAAAAGCCTGTGATTGTCAGCTCCCTTAGAGAGAGCTCTTTGCTTTCTTAAATTTTAGTTCATCTTGTGTTTGTTTCTATAGCTTGTGGAGATCTTTAAACCTATCTGTTTTACAATTTGTCTCCTCTTTTGGGGGTGGGTGTTTTAGTTCTGGCAGGAGCGTTCACATCCTATTTGGAGACGGAAGTCTGGATATCATTTATTAGGCAGAGCCTTGACCCCTTCATCCAGCTCAGCTCTATCACACAGGTGAGTAGTTTATGAGTGTTTGGGCCAAATCAGTAGGTCAGTGAAAGGGTACATGATGGACACATCCCTCAACCTCCCAGCCACAGATGATGGGTATTCCTTGGGGACTGATCTGCCTTAGTCACATTCAACTTGAAATTCAGCCCATTCCTAGGGATAGCAAATGACATTAACATTATCAGTTCTATTGCTGCTTAGGAGAATGAGATGTCAGCTCTGGCCCTAAGGCAAATTTGCTCATGTAGACACCTGAATTTGTGCACTCTGGCATAGGACTTTAGAAGTTAGACCTGGGCTGACTTGTAGCTTTGCATTTTTACTTACCATGTGATCATGGGCAAGTTACTTAATTCTCTAATCCTCAGTTTTTCCACCTATAACTTCATAGGGTTATTTTGAGGATTAAATATACTACAGGTTAAGCCCCACATGGTGGCTCACAGCCTATAATTCTAGCGAATCAGGAGGTGGGAGGATTGCTTGAGGCCAGGAATTTGAGACCACCCTGGGTTACATAGTGAGACCCTGTTCCTATGTAATATTAAAAAACAAACAAACAAACAAAAACTCATGTAGTAGCATGCACCTGTAGTCCCAGCTCCTCAGGAGGCTGAAGTAGGAGGATTGCTTGAACCCAGGAGTTCGAGGCTGCAGTGAGCTATGATTGCACCACTGCACTCTATCCTGGGTGACAGAGTGAGACCCTGTCTCTAAAAATAAACAAACAAACTACAGGTTGAGCATTCCTAATCTGAAAATCTGAAATACTATAAAATCCAAAGCTTTTTGAGTACTAACATGATACCTTTGCTTTCTAACGGTCATTGTACATAAACTTTATTTCATGCACAAAATTATTAAAAATATTGTATAAAATTACCTTCAGGCTATGTGTATGAGGTATCTATGAAACGTAAATTAATTTTGTGTTTGATTTGGGTCTCATCCCCAAAATACCTTATTATGTATGGGCAAATATTCCAAAATCCAAAACACTCTGGTCGCAAATATTTCAGACCTTTATAGTCCCCGTTATCCCCCTGCTTGGTTGAAGCTTGATAATATTTACTGCATAAATGAACTACAAGTTGTTCCTCCCTCCATCGTCCCTTCCTTCCTTTATTCAAGGACATTTACTGATTACCTGTTATGTGGCAGGCACTCTTCTGTGCCTTGGAGAAACAGCAGAAAACAAAACAGATGAATTTCCTCATCTCATGACATTTAGATTTTAGTCTGTATGTATATGGGGGTTGGGTTGGAGACAGAAAAACAAATAAATGAGAAAATATGAGGTAGTAATAGGTTCCGTAATGCAAAAGTGCAGTGTTCGCTTGATGGAAAGGGTTGATTAGGGGCTTTTTCCAGGTTGGGCAGTAGGAAATCCGAGAGGGTGATATTAAAACAGAGATCAGAATGACAAGAAGTCATTTTTCCCCCTGGGGGAAAGGGATCCCAGGCAGTGTGAACAGCTAATAAAAGGTTCTTTAAAGTGAGTTGGGGCTAGACATAAACTATCTAAAATACTGCTTTAGGAAAACTAAGGTGTCTGGGGTTGGCTGCTTTGGAAATTACCATACCCAGAATAAACTGATGCTATACTCTTACTTTTTCTTAGTATTGCTGTACTTAGCAGTTTCTCAACACCCTCCCTGTTCTCTCCTCACCCTCCAAGATGCTTTGAAAAGAGGAATTGTGGATTAGCTAACACAATAGAGTTAAGGCTAGGTCAGTAATTTTTTCCCCATCAAAAGTGATCAATAGCAGCACAATTCATAATTGCAAGGCTGTGGAACCAGCCCAAGTGCCCATCAATCCAAGAATGGATTAATAAAATGTGGTACATGTATATCATGGAGTACTATTCAGCTCTAAAAACAACGGTGATATAGCACATCTTATATTTTCCTGGTTAGAGCTGGAACCCATACTATTAAGTGAAGTTTCCCAAGAATGGAAAAACAAGCACCACATATACTCACCAGCAAATTGGTATTAACTGAACAGCACCTAAGTGGACACATAGGTACTACAGTAATAGGGTATTGGGCAGGTGGGAGGGGGAGGGGGCAGGTATATACATACATAATGAGTGAGATGTGCACCATCTGGGGGATGGTCATGCTGGAGACTCAGACTTTTAGGGGGAGGGGGGAATGGGCATTTATTGAAACCTTAAAATCTGTACCCCCATAATGTGCCGAAATAAAAAAAAAAGAGTGATCATGCCATAGAAAAAAATAAATCAGTGGCCACATAAAATAATAAGTAACTACATTAGTCTTATAAGAGAGCAAAATATGAAATGTTCTACTTCTCTGCTTTTTACATTTAGATTGTATAATGTACAATTCAATAAATACAGTATCACTTTGATGAATATAATTTATTTCTAAATTTTTCCCAATTTTGGGAGAGAGAGAGAAGAAAAGATGATGGAAAAGGATAGGGGAAGTTGGATATACAGAAAGAATGAAATAGAATGAAACACACAGGTGACTAAGTGGACGTATACTGACCAAGAGGAGGAATAAAAGAGTCCTAGAGGGAGACAGAGAAGCTGAGAAAAAACTGGGTGAAGGGAAGCCAAAATGTAAATAGGTTTGGGGTGAATATGTTCCTGTCACCCTCTTGTGCCTTTGGGCTATGAATAGCATACAGTAGTAGGTTATTGCTTCCTTTGAAAATGTGACAATATTTACTTATTTTATATATATTTTTAGAGACAAGGTTCTCACTCTGTCATCTAGGCTGGAGTTCAATGGCACATCATACATAGTTCATTGCAGCCTCCAAATTATGGGCTGATGGGTTCCTCCTGCCTCAGCCTCCTGAGTAACTGAGACTATAGGCACATACCACAATACCCAGCTAATTAAAAAAAAATTGTAGCAATGGGGTCTCCCTATGTTGCTCAGGCTGACTTCAAACTCCTGGCCTCTAGCAATCCTCCTGCCTTGGCCTCCCACAGTACTGAGATTACAGGTGTGAGCCACCATGCCCAGCCTCTAACAATATTTAACACACATATTTCTTCTGTGTTTCCCTCTGTTACACTGATGTATGCTCTACATTAATGCCAAATTCCTTTCATTTATTTCTTTACACATTTCCTTTCACCAGACTGCTTTCTTTCAAATCAAAAAACACAGATTGTTTGAGTTTATAAAACAATTGCTATGCCTCTAGTATCCATTCTCCCATTTTCCAGATGGAAAGTTGCCTGCAACCAAAATCATACATTCTAGTCATCATGGTTGTTATTCTTATCATCAGGGCAAGCCCCATGTCTAATGGGTAGGATTTTGGACAAAAAAAAACTGTGGTTGTCTAACAGGACTTACGATAAGTGAAGATAGTATATAACTGAGTGGATCAAACCAGGCCGTGTGAAGACTAGGAAAGCTCCATGTGTAAGTCTCAGACCACCTGGCTGATGATTTGCTATACTCCTATAAACATCCATGGAGTACAGTCAGTTGAAGGTGAAGCCTGTGGCTTGTTGGGTCCCCCTCTAGTCAGAACTTCTGGAAATTGGGCAATAATAGACTTGGTAGAATCCTAAAAGAGTGAAATGGATGGCTGCATCCTAAGACATTCCACTAGGAAAAGCCTGACTGAAGCTGCAGAAAGAAAATTAGCCCAATATACAGAATCAGTAGCCTGAAATTTAATGTGTAAATATGCCCAAGAAAACAATTGGCCAAAGGTACATAGCTATGCTGATCAGCCACAGGCTAGAGATATTTGCTCTAATAAATGGAAAATTACAGACTAGACTATTACAGGAAAAACAATCTGGTGAAGGGAGATATGACAAGAAATCGATGAAAGGAATTTAGCAATTCATGTAGAACATGTATCAGCTTATCAGCACAACAACAACAACAACAAAAACCAGAATAATTTATTTGAATGAGAGAGGCTGAAAAAACTGGCTGAAAAAACTACTATAGACTCTGAAGTCTTGGAGACTCTAAGTTTCAACTTAGCTCCTTTGTCAGTTCAATTTAAGGTTGCAAAATGGGCGTGTGAAACCTCAGGGAATATGAACATGAGTATACTAGGTAAGCAGAGGAGAAAGGGTGAAAAAAAAACTATGAATCAAACAAACAAGTGAGTAATCAATATGAGATATGTCAAATTACTAAAAACTTTTTACACCCTCAACAAACTCATTATAAGGGGGTTGGAGAGTGGTAAACCAGACCAAATGTGGCCAGTAGATCATATTGGGCCATCCCTAGATTTTTTTTTTTTTTTGAGACAGTCTGATTCTGTTGCCCAGGCTAGAGTGTCGTCAGCCTAGCTCACAGCAACCTCAAACTCTTGGGTTCAAGCGATCCTTCTGCCTCACTCAGCCTCTGTAATAGCTGGGGCTACAGGCATGTACTACCATGCCCAGCTAATTATTTTTAAATATTTTTAGTTGGCCAATTAATTTCTTTCTTTCTATTTTTAGTAGAGATAGGGTCTTGCTCTTGCTCAGGCTGGTCTCGAACTCCTGAGCTCAAACGATCCACCCACCTCGGCCTCCCAGAGTGCTAGGATTACAGGCGTGAGCCACTGTGCCGGGCCTCCATCCCTAGATTTTTTAAACAAAGAACATTGCCTTACAGAAGTGTATACTTAGTACTCAGGAAGATGATTTGCAGAGCCCACAAGGCATGCATATGAAAATAGTATGTCTGTGGCTTTAGATAAAGTTGGAGGAACTAATTGCTAGATACAGAATATGAGCAGTAATAGGAAATATCAAGGAATTAGTTTATAACTGAACTTGTCCAAAGTTTGGCAAAGTACAGAGAATGGGGGACTTTTATTCACCATACATTTCCTAGGTTACAGAGAAATTGGAACTTTTAATGAGTGGATTATTAAAAACACAGAAAGAATTTAGCAGCACCAGATATAAATGGCAATGTGGCAAAGGTGCTAATAACGACAATTAATTGAAAGACCCTAAGTGAATGTATCCTTTCTCAAAAGAGATGTTCAAGAAATATAGACAAACTACCTATATTCACTTTGCTCTCAAATCTCTTAAAAAGTGATAAAGACCATGAGAAATTCAAAGGAAAGAGAAGTAGTAGATCCTCATAAGGCTATCAAAAAAGGAACAGCAGGCCGGCGCAGTGGCTCATGTCTGTAACCTAGCACTCTGGGAGGCCAAAGCGGGCGGATTGCTTGAGGTCAGGAGTTTGAAACCAGCCTGAGCAAGAGCAAGACCCTGTCTCTACTATAAATAGAAAGAAATTAATTGGCCAACTAATATATATAGAAAAAATTAGCCGGGCATGGTGGCGCATGCCTGTAGTCCCAGCTACTTGGGAGGCTGAGGCAGGAGGATTGCTTGAGCCCAGGAGTTTGAGGTTGCTGTGAGCTAGGCTGATGCCATGGCACTCACTCTAGCCTGGGCAACAAAGTAAGACTCTGTCTCAAAAAAAAAAAAAAAAAAAGGAAGAGCAATAGCTAGAAGATACCCTTTCAACCTATGGGCAATTCTTGATAGGGGTATCTTGTAGCCAGAACCTGCAGGATAGACAAAGTCTCAAGGATACTAATCTTCTTATTTCTCTTTTCTATTATTAGATCTGCTTTGCTGTTTTCTCTTGGCTGTGACAATCTGTCTGGTGGTTATTATAACAGCAGTTCACTACCAGTACAAACAAGAGTACCATATATAAATTTTGTGGGAGGTTCACCAACATCATCAAAAAGTTCTATAGTACCACTGGCCTCATTCTGTACTTGATCACCATCATAATCATATCAGCGTCCTCATTTCTCATCTAAACCAACCACAAAACCATTGTCGGCCCCATAAGATTCATTGTCACTATTAGTCCATTTACTACACCTTTAGTAATATTTTATCTATTGCGAAAAGCAGTGAAGCATGGAGTCAGTGTCAATGTCAATCCCTCTACTAGTTGGTGGGCTTATTGATTGTGTAGCCCAGTTAGTAAGAATAGCTGAAGAGCTCTTACAATTGATGTCACAAGAACAAGTTCCTTGTACAGAACAGATCGAAGCAGAAGCATCTCTTCTTGAGGAAGGTTCACTACCAGACCTTGCTGATCTCTCAGACTTAGAATCAATACTTATACCATTAGATGATGAAGACCTAATGTTTGATATAGATGAAGTTATGTTAGACATAGGTGATGTATATGAAGATGTATTCTCTGACATAAATGATGACTTTAAAAGTGACTAAGACCCAGTTTGTCCCCATCAGCATGTAAGAATTGATCATCTCTCTGTTTCAATATGTTCTGATTTTTCTGCATGTTAGCAGTATGTGTTTTCTCCTAGTTCTGCACATTTTCATTAGTCATAAATTTTAGAACAAGTTTGACTTGATTTACTCCCAGCAAAGACTGATCTCTTTTCTTCTTTGTTTTTATACAAAAAGCTCTGACTTTATGCGTATAGTTGTCTGTTTATATGTACTTGTTCTCCTGCTAGGATTACTGATGATAGGAACAAACAATAGCAAAGAGAAACTCCTCATCTAACAATGGAATGAAGAACTGATGTACTCTATCACATCTTGGGACCCAATTTAAGTGTTCCACAATGAATAGAAATGAAAAAGGGGATATCTCTCAGAATAGTAGTATAGTGAATATGTTGAGGTACTTTTACTTGAAAAGATACAACTCCTTACTGTTCCTTTAAGAGAGAATGTGTCAAACAAAAGATGCTATAGCAAACCAAGGGAAGTAATTCTAAAAGAGCAGCATCTACTGCAGAAAGGTTTTCAGATGACTGTTACCAGGGAGAAACCTTTGAAAAAGCTGAGGCCAAGAGGTTCCAATGCAGCACCGTTCTCACAAATGCTGAGCCACATCGCAACTATTTTGCAGTGTTACTCCCCAAGTGGAAATGGCACACTATACCAAATAACAAAAGAGAAGTACTAGACGGGCTAGACAAAGCCCTACAAGGACTATTCACCAATAACACAGAAGCCTAGAGATGATGATCCACGGTGGAAGTGGATAAAGTATATCTTCGTGGGTATAAATGAATTTAAAAAGAATAATTGATAGGTTTATTACTGTGAACCTGCTGCAACTTCAACCTAGAAATGTTTCCTGTTGAGAGATAGAGCACTAATGGATTTAAACAAAATGTGGAATAGTATTTCGTCACAATAATTCTACATATACCAGAAGAGGAAAATGCAATAGTTGAAGGACCCTTACATCGAAGCAGAGAGGGACCAAATAAATGTGTAGAAAATTTGCTGATTGTATCAACTCTATGCTGTACATTACCCTAATTTCTATTTGGAAGAATAGCTACCCTTCGAACAAGCCCATTGATGCTATGATCTTCCTTCCTTGAGAATGACCTTTGCATCTCATGACATGGGCAACAACTAGGTAAAGACAGGTATAACATTGGATAATGTGATATATGCAGATTGTGAAGAAATGATATGTAGAAGGAAATCCACACTGGTGCAAACCAGACTATGCCAATTTATATTGAAGCCTAAAGCATATTATACTGAAAAGGATTAAAATGACATTTAATACGGATGACTTCATAGCTAACCAACATGACAGATGCTGTATCTAATACTAAGTGATAGCTGCATACACAGATAATTAGCTACCTTTAAGGATAAGTGGAGGCCATTATAGACTACATAACCAGGTCCTATTTGGATGAGTAGTAGGCAGGAAAAACAAATCAGTTTGGCCATTGAATTAGGATACAGTGATTTAACAAATTTAACAAGACTGTTGTATCAGGAGAATCTACCATAGACTGTTTTGAAAATCAGAACTTATGGAGCTATTCAACATGTTAATATTAGAAAGTTCCATAATAGACTGCTATATGGAAGGATTGATAAGAGTAGATAAGGATCCATTTTATGAGAATACTCCAATTTGTGAGACTACTCTAGACCTTGAAACAAGATAAAGACTTAAACCAGCCTATAAAACAAGTAATAGACACAAAATAAGACAGAGACACAAAGACACAAATAGGAAAAATGAAATCGATATCATAGAGCAACTACTATGGATAATTACAAGCCAGATGGGGCAGCAGATTGAGGAACTTTGTGACTACAGTAACTGGACAAACTGAACCTTACTTTCCTCATGTAGGGGGATCTAGATATGCAGTTATGTTCCAAATGGCAAAAACTGATGCAGTTCAAAGGGACTATGCTGCATTAACCTAAATAGAGTAGTGGGAAAGCAAGAAGAAAGAAGTTTATCCCTCCATTCAATAGGAACAGTTTTACAAGGAAGATTAGTGATAGCAGATAAACAAGGAAACTTATACATTTAGTAAATATGAATAACAACAGAGAAACTGAATAAAAGTTAAATGATATGATCTATGTTTTAATTAAAGGATTAGAAACAGCCAGGGAAGATATACACTCTTCACAGAGAATTTGAACTTTAGGAAATTGGGCTATAATTTTGTGTCAAAGTAAAACTCATTGCATAAATACCTGAATAAGATCAGGTACATATTGAAGGAGAGACCATCAGTCTGTTACACATTCTATTTGGTGAGCAATTTACCTGTAACAGGACAGACCTGGTGCTCTTGATAGATACTGAACATGATAGATGCTGAAGGGTAGCTATTCTTCCAAGTTGAACTCTGGAATATGGACTTTATAACAATTCCAGAACAGATTTTAGTGTGAGCTTGTTAAAACTGTTAGTGTCTTACGGGAGAACACAAGCAACCATACTAACTCCAGCAGGTCATCAAAATATATCAAGAGAAATTTGTGAGACTACTCTAAACCTTGAAAGAAGATAAAGATTTAAACCAGCCTATAAAACAAGTAATAGTCAATATGATCCTTAGGTGTCAAAACAGGAAGGTGCTACAACCTCATAATATTCGGAGCTTGCTGGCCTCTTGTTGACTTGAGTCACCTGGAAGGATTATACTGTAATGGCACCTCAGGACTAGATAATTTCTATTTCAATGTTTACTTTGATTGTGTGATTATATGTGTTTAAGTATTAAGATGTAACCTTATTGCAAGAAATGGATTGTTGTATTAAGTATTTTTGCTCTATGGAACAGAATTGTAAACAGTTTAAAGTCATAAGATATATTTTTAGGAAATAAGAAAATACTTAGGAACAAGAGCTAGTAGGGGAGGTGTTTTCAGGAGAGAGAAGAAAATTAATTGTCAGCAGTTAAATGTAGCTGTTTATGGTGGAAAGCCACAGTATGAAGTTAGTTTTTAAACAGATTTATGAACCAAGCACCATTTTTGTTATATGCAAATTAGCCAACCCTAAGATGTTGATAGAAACAACTGTTTACCAATTGATATGTCATGTATCTGAAAGCTTGATTAGATGGAGAAGTATTAACTAATTTAGTCCACTGACTGAAATCCTGAATCTCCTCCAGGAGAATAGAGAAGAGATAGTTGCTGGTCCTTTATTCAAACTAGCTCTTTTCTGGATCTTCTTGAGACCAATGTCAAGCCAATTCTTGTATGGCATGGAGGAATAGAAAGAGAGAGAGGTTCGTCATTCTGAAAGGAGCTTAAAGGTATGAAAACAAAGGAAGACAGTCTGGTAGATGGCAGTGGATTAAGCAACACAAGTTTTTATCCCTATTACTTTTTGACAAAAGTGTGTGGGCAGTTGTAACTACATACTTGCATCTTTATGTATACTAATTATTGCCAGTTATGATACTTGTTTATGATCCTTATTGGCTATTGGTCTAAATCAATTTATTGTTTTAAGAGATTTTAATGAATAAACTTTTATTCACAAACCAAAGTGGTCATTGTAAATTACCTGGTAGTGAATTTGAAGGCTACCAAACCAGCATAAAAGAATCCCATTCAACAGAAGGTAGCAGAGTATACTAAGAGAGAATATTGTACCAGGAGTCTGAAGTTCTACTTCTGGCTTTGTCAGATGATCTTGAATAAATCTCTGAACAGTTCTATGTCATTTGTAAAATGAGGGTTATAATAATTTTTCTGCTTACCTTCGTGGTAACAAGGAACAAATTAAATACTAGAGTTTTCAAAGCCTTTGGTATGATATATCTGACATTGGGACAGAATATAAGAAATCAGGACTTTTCAGGAATATCTGAAAAATGTCTGTATGACAATACCCAGAATGGATTTGGCATGTAAAAATTATCTAATAGTTTTCCACCTTTTTTTTTAAAAAAGAGATTAGAGATTCCTTATTCTATTTCATGTCCAAAGAGTTTAGAATCAGCTTTTGTTTAATTCTTTGGAGCTTTTTTTTTTTTTTTTTACTAAATTAAATTCTTTTGGGGAGTCTACTTGAGTTCTAGGAGGAAAAATAATGAGGAAAAAACAACAGGAAAAAGCCTTTCAGGAAATAATGAATTATATCCCATTTAAGGCTAAGAGTTTGTTCCTGAGGGGGTTGTGTAACTCGAAACATCATTAACCCACCATGATCCAATTTTTTACAAAAATCCATGCTGACTATTGTGTTTTTGTACCGATAGCTTTATCTTAATAGAGTAGAGGTATTTAGGGATTTCTTTTGGATGTACTTCTTATTTTTTCAGGGATCTTACACTCTCCAGTCCAAATTTCATACTTACTTTTCTTCTGTGTATATAACCTCAGAAACCAGCTACCCAACAGAAAATCCCTAACAAAAAAATAACTGTTAGTTCTTGAAGTTACTTGCATTGACAAGTACAACTATCCATTGGACTCCAATGGTCTCATCTCTTCATGGTAATAAAGAATCCTTATCTTTGAAGGTGACCATGGTTATACCTCTGAAGAATGGAACTGCACTTTAGCTAGGTAGGGAAAACCACTGAACTCTTTTTCCTTTGTTACAATTTTGTCATAAAGACCCTAGAAAAATGCTGAAAACATCTCAAGAGGTAATTTTTAGTTTAGCACAAATATTCATGTAAAGTGGATTAGGGGGCCACAATCATGAAACACAACTTCAGTGTTTCAGATTTCTTTCATCAAAGATGTCATTAACAAAATCTGTTGTTGAAAACAAATACACATGCCTCTATATTATGGCAAATTCTGCCAATATTGATCATTTTTAATAGTTTTATTCTTAAACTTGGGGAAACACTGGCCTTTCTTGAAACTGTATTTTTAAAATTTTAATGTTGGCTTATCCCTAACTTCTAGCTTTGGAAAATCAGCTGTGTTGCACTTCATTTTATAGAGAAAAATATTGTCTTTTTTTGTGTGGAATACAACTTTTTAGCTCAAGTTTTAAGAAAGTTGAAACCTAAGGTGTGAATGGGCTTAGATTTAGGTCCTTTTCTCTGGTTCAGGAGCTCCTGATTGTCCTCCCCCACAATACCTTGACTCATGGAGAAAGTTTTCATTTGTATTGGGTATTTCTTCATTTATTCCCATTTGGAATCACAGCATGCTTTAAAAGATTAAACAGGGTGTCATCAGGAATGGCACAAGAGAGTGGACAAGTCTTGCATCTGCTCTGTCCTGTTCCTGATTATGGACACTGAGAAAGTTATCCTACCTCTCCTTGAAGATAGAACCTCATGGCTCCACTGGTATCAAGCATGGAATCAAGTGGAAAAGAGAGTAGTTTTTCCTTTTTTAGCTCAGTTACCCATTCTCATCTAGAGATTGTTTCTCTTTGAATAATCCTGGTCCTGGGAGATAATTCTTGTCCATTCCTCTATAGCCTTCAGGGTCTGAAGGTCATCTGAAAAAAAATGTCCTTTTAAAAAATGTCTCCAACTTGTTTAGGGGCTCCCAACATATAACCCTTAGACCAAATATGTTGCCCCAGATCCTGGGGTGTGTCTACTTAAGATGTTAATATGTTTTTCTTCTTAATGAGTTAACACACATAAACCATATACCCCCAAGGAATTTGAGGAATTTTGTCTAATATGGAAAAGCTGAGTTCACTTTCCATAAATATAATGAAAGCATACAGTTATGTTTCATTCATTTCTTTGTGTCCAAAGTAAAGGATTGTTTGCCCAGTTTCATCACATTCTACATGAGGAGCGTTTGTACTGCAAAAATTGGTGATCAAGTGTATTGCGTAATATGATAAAGACCAAGACCATGACCTTTTTTATGTTGTGGCCTGAAGCACTATGTGTCTATTTCACTTACTTAAAGATTAGATTGTAGATATTTGTTGAACAGACATACTAGCTTCCTCAGATCAACGACTTTTGAGAATGAAGTTCTCACAGACACCTGAATTGTTGGAACCTCAGTAGCTCAAAGCATTGTGTTTCTTATCTAAACACACTATAGCGAGAATTAAAAAAAGAAAAGTACTCCCCAAACAAGGTCATTGCTGATTTGTTCAACAAGGTGAGAGTACTCAGCCTTATAGTAGACATGTGGATTGTACAGAGAGAAATTAGAGGTTGACTCATTTGATACCCAATGAAACCACATACTATTTTTTTAAAAAAACCTTGACATTTACAGATTGGGAAGGATTATAGAGTTTTTAGTTGAAATAAAGTCACAGTTCAGAAGGGATTTATATATTTTGATGAGTATAAAATGTATGCAAAATATGAAACTCTACTTAGATAGGCTAACTATTGAAAGAAAAGTGGATATCCCAAAACTGGTGCATCCTGAAAAATGAATCCTAGTAATGATGGTCATACAATGTGCATGTACTTAATGCCACCAAACTGTAAACTTAAAAATGGTTAAAATGATAAAATTTATATTAATGTATATTTTATCACAATAAAAAAAGGACTCCTTTGACTTTAATGTTCACAGCAAATGGACCCTGGAAACAATGTTGGAATCTCTGGTGCTTAATTAAGAGAGCAAAAAGAAATATAACCCCTTGGCACATTCAGGTTGGTATGAGAAATATATTGTATGAGCATATAATAGCATAAAGATATTTCATAATAGCAATGATAAGAGAAATTATGAAGTTAGGAACATAGGGAACAAAGTTTCATGACAGTAAAAGGACTAAAACAAAAAGGGA